CCTGTCGGAAGGAAGGAAGTCACAGAGTCACAGGCATTGAAGTGGGCAAGTCAAATTTCCAAAGACATGAAACTCATATTATCGAGGCATCAAAGGCAGAAAGGGAGTTCATCTATAACAAATTGAATTGTCAAACCCTAACAGGTAAAAAGGTACGCCCAGTTGCACCATGTTTGGAGGTCAGCCGTAGGTACTACAAGTGTCATGTGAGGAGCGGTAGTGTAGTAGGGTATCGCAACCATCCAGTCCTCCCACAGAAAGAAAATCTTTTGGTCCGTTGCTGAATCTAAATGACGTGATGATTGAAAAGGGGAAAATGAATATCCTCGGTATCTCTGTTCAGACGCCGAGGACGTGTGGAAGAGAAGAATAACTACAACTGAGAGTGCTCGCTGATGTTGGAGGAGTGGCCGTTGGGCTTGCCGTTCAAGTGAACGAGCTTCTTGTCAAAGTACTGACCCTCAGTGTAGGGGTCGTACATGCTCTTCTTGATGTGGGCATCAAGTTGAGCATCTGTGAGGCCTCGTAGCTCAACGGCACGGTCAACACCGTTCTTCTGGGCCGCACGGATGACACCACGGGTCACAACGACGGAGACCTCGCGGATACGGCGGATGTCGGGGTATAGCCAGCCATCGGCAACCTCCTGCTTGTTCAGAGAGGTTGATAGTGATTCGGCGGAGGCGTAGATCATGTCTTGAGTGATGGACACAGCTTTGCAGACGATGGCACCGAGGCCGATACCAGGGAACACATACATGTTGTTTCCCTGACCGGGGGTAAGCAGCTTGCCCTCCCACTCCAGTGACGGGAAGGGAGAACCGGAAGCGAACAGGCAGCGGCCCTCGGTAGCGATGACAGCCTCCTCGAATGTGCACTCGGATTTGCTGGAGGGGTTGGAGAGGGGGAAGATGATGGGTCGGTTGTTCAGCTTGGCCATGCGGGTGAGAATGTCAGAGTTGAAAGCGCCACCAATGGTTGACAGACCCATGAGAATGGTAGGCTGAACGTAGTCGATAATACGGGCGAGCGACTGGTACTGGCGGCCCTGGTTATCGTCACGGGCAAAGTAGACCTTGTGCTCAGCCAGCCTGTCGCCACGGTCAAGTGTGACGAGACCGTTGGAGTCGACGAACCAGAACTTGTGGCGGGCCTCATCCTCTGTCAAACCCTCCTTGATGAAGTATTCGACAATCTGCTTGGCAACACCAACACCGGCACTACCAGCACCAAGGAAAATAGCCCTGTGGTCCTTGGCCGGGACACCAGACGCCCTGATGGCGTTGATGAAGCCACCGACAATGACGGCACCAGTTCCCTGGACGTCGTCGTTGAACATGGCGTACTGGTTCTGGTAGCGCTCTAGGGCGGGGAAGGGGTTCTTGAAATCCTCGAATTGGATGACAATGCTGTTGGGCAGTTAGCGGCTAGAAGAGCATGAAGAGTGCGTATTACGTACCTTGGCCATTTGTCGGTAAGGGCGGCCATGAGCTCGTCGAGGAACTCCTTCTCCTGGGCAGCGGTGACCTTGGGCATCCTTGAACCCATGTACAGAGGGTCGTTGCGGAGTTTCTCGTTGCTAGTTCCCAAATCAAGGGTGAGGGGCAGGGTGCTGTCCGGCTTGATACCAGCGCAGGCAGTGTACAGAGCCAACTTGCCGACAGGAATACCCATGCCGTTCACACCAAGATCACCGAGACCCAGGATACGGGAACCATCTGTGAGGACAGTGATGTCAACCTCGTGAGGCCAGTTGTCGAGGATCCTGCGGAGGTTGCCTCGGTCGCTCCACGAGAGGTACATGCCCTCGGGTTGTGTCCAGATCTCGTGCCATCGTACGCAGGCCTCGCCGACGGTGGGGGTGTAGATGAGGGGAGTGATTTCCTGTGGACGGGTAAGCTACGTGCTTATTGCAGAGTCTCAGTCGCCACTGCATACCTTGATGTTCTCTGACAGCAGCCTGTAGAAGAGATGTGGGTTGGTGGCCTTGAGGTGGGTGAGGTACTGGAACTTCTCAATGGGCGCCGACTTCATAGCCAGGAGTTTAAGGCCTATACAGGGTCAGCTGGGGTCAATCTAGCAATACCAGAAGTACTCACATCGGTCGGTCTGGGTGTCGTAACTCTCCACCGCCGGCGGTGTGAGTCCGTATGTGCCCAGGCTCCTGCGGACATCGGGCGTGTAGGAAAGATCGTAGTCTCCGGACGTGGTACTCAATTGGCGAGGCATGGCTGGTCGAATGGCTGAGGGCATATTCTGTGTTGATACTGTGGCCATATAACGAAGGTTGGGTTTTTGGGTTTGAAAGCGAAGGCCTTGGGCGGGCGCCGTGACTTTTATAAGCGGTCTGAATCGGTGCATTGAAATGAGCTGAAACCACGCTTCGGCAATTGAAAAGGAATTGGAAGACAGCCCGCCTAGGGCGCGCGGAGAAGGGGCCTACATAACCAGGAGCCTATCGGGAGGGGTCTAGGTTCCGCAACAGTCATCTGTGAGGAGATCCGTTCTCGCCGTCAAAGTGTGCCTGTAGAGGAAGCATGGACCCGCCCAAGATGGTGACATTTACGCGAACTGCCCTGCGCGGGGATACTATTTGCCCGTCTACCACGTTTTTATTCGCATCACAGGCTTCTTGGAGAGCTGTTCATCTCCTTCACTTCAAGCACGTCTTCTTTGCAAGCCCCTGCCGTCTATCCGCACCTGTTCCAGAATTTGTCCTGTGAGACCTGGGTAGATTGCCGATGGACGAGTTGCCCTGTCACAGCCACAGCGGCCGGATAGCAAGGGACCAGGGGCCACGACTGACCGTGCATATCTTCGGGAGCATTCGGAACGGCTGCTGGGACCCATCGCACTGGCTTCAACTCAATATGCATATGCGTCCCCATGTCTATATTCTTGTTGATGATGATGGCAAACGATTAGACAGCAGCCGATTGGCGCTGAGCCACCATCGGCTTCTGTTGTACGTACTGCACATGTGCTGTCCATTCTATTCGGAAAGTACTAAACTTTTGCCCTCCGACTTCGTCCTGCTCGTTACGAGCACTTGTCGGGTCGGGCATCGAGGCATTTCATTTCTTTTTGTCAATGCGCACCACCCGTCTGCAACACCATGTTTATTAATAAGCACGTTGATCTTACGGCAGTCGTCTCACTCCCTTCGCCACCAAGATGCCTGGAAACCTTTGCGTTACCCAGTTCAATAGTCCAAGTCTACACCGTCTCCTCTCGCGGGTCCGCATTCGGCTCCAAAGATGCACCCCGACCCAGCGGCTTGCTAATCAACAGGGGCGGTGTGTGTTGCTTTCTACCTTTTTACCGCAGCGGAGCCGCGGGCGCAACTTTTTTTTTTAAACCAACGGCAACATTGCGCATCCCCCCTGGCCCCTTGCTAACGGACCGTTGGGGCGTGCAGACGTGCAGGACGCGGGCGTGCGCAACTCCCATCTTTCTTCGCCTGAACCTGTAACAAAGTAATTAGGCCACCCTAGACATGCTAGAGTGCCTGAGCATGTGCACCCGCAAAGGCTGGTCCCGTCTTCACGGTTCACGTCTGAGTAGCCATCGTCTTCGATGCCCCTTGGCACTACCGTGGGGAAACCGCCGGCCAACAGCTGCAGATGCAGCTACAGTGGATCACCCGTGGTTGTGGGGGAAGCTTGATGGCTTAGGCAAGACAACCGCCGCGTCCAGTTCTCCTCTTCCGGGTATTGGGACACGCGACCCCACAGTCCGCGACACCACGGGAGGATACGGACTTTGTTGCAACCCATCATTTGTCCGACGCGTATCATCATGTCGATACACACTTAGTGCGCAAGCATCAACCATCGATGGGATTTCGAATGCTGAACGCGACGCTCTAGCCTGCAGCAGAGCTGTAACTGCATCTGTATGCAGCTGTCAGGTCCCGTGACAGGCTTGGCCGACGAGTCAAGTAGGCCTTGGTTCTGGATGCCTGGGCTTGCATGATGCGACGTGGTCAAAGCAAACATGCATCGGCAGGAATGGTACAGAGGGTTCCTTCGGAGCTCATCATGTGTGTCAGGTATGTCGCTTCCCCGAAGCTTACGAAATCGTCAAGGATACAACTTCCAATGTCAGCCTCCTATGTCCCGAATTCCGATACCTGTATGTAGGGACTTCCGCATACTTCACACCGTGTCAGCGTCATGTGCTGCACCAGCTAAAGTTCAAAAACTGGAAAGGAGACTTATATGCGAATCTGCGGTCGCTCGACTGATTCACAGCCTTGCCCAGCTGCGGAGAGAGCTCCGGTGGTTATGTCTATATCACCTAGCTTGCTAAGAACCTGTTTTTAACAGCCTGAGCTATGAACACAGAACTTCTTGGACGAAACCACTACGCTATAATTCACGATGCTGCCTTGGCTTGTTGACCTTATCGATTGGCGCTATGGATTGCTCTCCTAGTTCAGATTTTCTTATCATAAGCTTATCGTAAGGAAGTCGAACCAAGAGCGTATAGCTCTAAGCTTCAGAACTGTCCCTATGTCTTCTTTACGCGCTGCACTTCAAAAGTATTTATCCCCTCGTCAGAGCAGCATCATATAGCACACAAGGAAGTTGCGATGCGATGCACGAACCATAGGCTTGGGGTGATGGTCTTGGCGCATATGTGGAGCCGCGGATCGACGAGCGGCATGACGTCGCATGCCTAGCTCCCTCGTCATCTTGACCAACGCGTCTGATTGCCTAGAAGCGGGCAGTGCGCCCCAGCAGAGCTTCCTCCGTGTCTTGTTTACCTCAATTGAACTTTCTCAACCAGAAGAACGACAAGTAGCATCACAATGTCTCTCTCGTCGTGCTTTGGCTCGCGCAAACGTGATGAGGACCATCGTCCGTTGTTGCCCCAGGTACGTCCAGCCGTAGTTTGTTAACGCGAGATGAACACGCTGACCGCATTTACCAGTATCGAGATGATACGACACTGCAGAGAGAGGTACATCAGAAGCTCCACTCGTACCAGATGTGGAGGGCCCTTTCCAAGGGTTTCATGCCATCCAACGAACAACTCATCGTCAACCTGCGAAGTTTGCTATCTGCAGATGTTTTGAACCCAGAGAACCCAGACCTGAGCGACTCCGGCCGTCTGCTGGTCAAGTTCACCAAACAATGGCTTCATCAGTTCATCGACACAATGAACCACAAGAACAGCGAAGACCAGATCCAGGACTTTCTCTGGTATCTGTCCAAGTCGAGGGTTTCTGTAGATATGGGTGACATGGTACGACGAACAACTAGGTCGAAAGCAAAGGCAGATGCCACTGCAGGTACGTTTGCTTGATTCATTGTATTAGTATATTCTTACACGCCCAAAGCATACCACAGCCTGCAAACCGTTGGCTCTCTGCTTCTCACCAACTCCGACTTCCGTATCTTCCTCTCCGATCTCAACACCGTGGGCCGCGAAGTATTCAAAGACACTGCCTTCACCTTGTCCAAAGTGGCGAAAGAGGCTGGAAAGAAGATTGAGCCTACACAGGAGGAACAAAAGGCACTCAAGGAACCTGGCGCAGACGAGGGTCAAGCACATTCGGCTGAAGATCTGGGTGGCGAGGTCGCTGAGGTCGCCAAAGTAGTTGGAAATGGCGTCGCCCAGGTTGCCAAGGGCGCAGATATAAGCTTGGCCGAGAAGCTACAAGGCGACGAGGGCGATTCTCTGCTGTACCGCCTCAAGAAGACAGTCACAAACCTGAGGCAAAAGAGGGACTACAACGACTCAGTCTCAGTGTTGGCCATGCTCCTGAAACGCTATGCTATGGCATACTCCCGTACAGTGGAGGATGCCATGGGCACGCTCGAAACCGATGTTACACCGAACCGGGAGATGGAAAAGGCTGTCAAGAACTTCTGGACTTTCTTAAGCTCTTTCGGGGACAAGCAAGAATGGAATAAGCTCGAAGATGCTTTCCACAAGGTTTTGGAGCACTCTCGTAAAGATCCCGAGTTCGAAGACTTGCTCACAGACATTGGCAACTCCCTGCAGAAGCTCCTGACCGACCCCGACTTCTTCGACCATGTCGACGAAAAGTTCCAGGAGCTCCGCAAGAAGGCCAGGGGTGTCGGCACCGAATCGTCGCTTCGCCAGGATGTTGATGTGTTCTTCGAGCAATCTCAGAGAACCTTTATGGCAGTCACGCAAGATCAGGATATCGCAAAGATGATTAACACGACGATGAAGCTCTGGAACATATTGTCACCTATGCACACGAACACCAATAGCGAGCTGATCCAAGATGCCATCAACGTCTTCGTTCCTCTCGGCATCCAGGCAATTCAGTACATTCCCATTCCTCGACTAGAGGTCTCCACACCAGAAGTCGACATGTTGCTAGAGAACCTGATCATCGAACCGGGAAAAACTGTCAACCATACCTCCTTCCTTCCCTTCCGCTTCAAGGTAGAAACCTATAACGACTTTGAACTCCGCAAGGCGCGCTTCCGTGTAGCATCCAAGGCCACTTCGAAATTCACCGTCAAGATTGACGGCCTTTCATTCAGTGCAGATGAAGTTGGCTTCCTCCTCCGCGCTCACTCAGGTCTCCTTCGTCTCGCAGATGAAGGTATCGCATCTTTCCAGCTCGATGAGCGCGGCATTGACATTCACTTGGACGTTGAAGTCGGCAAGGAGAAGCTCGAACAGATCCTCACTCTCAAGGCTGTCCGCGTACACATCCACAAGCTTTCCTACACCCTTCGCAAGTCAAAGTTTAGCCTCATCGGTTGGATCCTCAAGCCCTTCCTCCGCCCCGTTATCCGCAAGGTCATAGAGAAGCAAATGGCAAAGGGTATCGCAGATGCTATCCACGCTGCTAACCGCGAGCTCATATTTGCTCGTGAGAGGCTCCGCGCGACCAGGATCTCTGACCCAGAGGATCTCAAGACGTTTGTCAAGGCTGTCATCACGCGTTTGACACCTGCCGATGACCCCGATCTTTACACGAGGGTTGGTGTTGGGGCACCTGGCAAGGGTGTGTTTGCAGGCAAATATGCACCTGGCAGTGTGGTCAAGCTTTGGGAGGAAGAAGGCAGGCGTGCGGAAGAGCGCATTGATGACTGGGATGAGGGCGGCTGGAGGAACGATGTTTTCGACTTGCACGCCAGGACCATGGGTTGAGTATGAGCTTGCTTGCTTTCTTTGTATGTTTTTTTCGCGGATAGCAAGGGGTTACCTTCTCGGTATGGGACTAATGGGTAAAGGCGATGGGTTTCATGACGGATAGTCTGGGCAAAAAGGAATTTCTCTCTTGTAGTCTGATACGGGATGATACGATTTCATGGATGTATACGATATTCCAGATTGTAGTTTATAGTTTTTCTCTAATGAGGAGTTTTCACTTTGATCAGAACATTTTGGGTGGTACTTTGATAGCTCTTTGCAGAAAAAAAAACCGGCACCACAAAACCAAAAATGTTGAATTTGAGCACCAAATCCAGCTTCTTACTCTCTAGGTCTGTCCATTGAAACGCCCGTTTGAGTAAATGTATTGTTGATACAGGGTTACACCCAGCTCAAGCCGTGAGCTCGAATGCCTTTCTTCCAAACTCTCGCTTACTGCCTAAAGCTAGATAGCCCAGCAAGTCTACGAAACACTATTGTCCACCTACCCTCTAGAACGGAGGTAGCCAGAAGGGATATCCACCGTTCTTGATGCGGAAGACGCTGAGCAAGAAGCTGTACATACCGAACAGCACGCCACTCCATAAGAAGACGGCAAAAGACTGAGCGCGGGGGTCCTTGATGCGGGGCACCTTGAGCGCCAAAGAGATTGCCGCAAAAGAAAGGACACCATAAATAGCAGCCACAATCTGCGACTCAAGACCATACTGGCTGCTGAAGCCGCCAGCAAAGTAGCTGAGACCGCCCTTGCCGTCTCCAGACACGTACGGCGTCTTCCTGATGTGGTTGAACATGTGGCCGCTAGTAAAGAGCAAGACGAGGATGAGACTGATGGCAGCCCAGAGGTTGCGGTTCTGCAGAATAGGCACGATGTAAGGCGAGGCAACCGCGATAGCGGTGATGCCGCCGAGCACGCTGACAGTCACGGTGATGATCTTGACCCAGTTGATAGGGCGGGACACGGAAGGGATGGGAGCATCAGTTTTGACCTGGCGCGCGACCCAAGCGTGAATTTGTTCGGCGGTTTGCGGGCCGGCGGTGAAGTCGAAGCGGACGGGTTGGGCGTCGGGTTTTGCGTTGGGGCCGAGGGTGGGGGGGAAGTACAGGATGACGGGTGCGGTTTGGAGCATCAGCTATTGGGCGGGTTGTTAGTACTTACGGAATATTGGCAGCAGCGTGAATTGCATAGATGGGATGAATAGGATTCAAACATACCGATTGGAAAGTAGCTTTCCCATCCACAAAATCCAAAGTCCCAAACACTGTCCTCGTCTGACCATCTTTATCACCCTTCAACCAGCTCTTGCCTAGCAGATTCCACTCTGGCTGAAATTCGCGACAGAGCGTACATCCGAACCTCGTTTCCAATGCCGTCAACAGAACCGTGACGCCGTAGTCGCGCGGGGCTTTTGTTAGTTTCGAGTAGCTGACGTCGTCGAGCTTGATGGGCTGGCCTTGCGAGAGAGCCTTGGCGCGGGCGTCATTGAAGCGGTCGCCGGTAGGTTTCTTGGCTGCTAGAGCTGTGAAGGGGAGCAGCGAGGCAGTGAGGAATTGTAGCCACCGCATTGCGTCGTTTGCTGGGCGGGTGCGTGGTGGGTTTGGGTGTTGCGGTGACTTGGTGGACGTAACGCTTGCCTTGGGAACGTGGCCTTGAGAGCTCGGAGATGCGGCGGCGTGCGTAATGCCGCTAAGAGCGACAGGGGTGCTGTTGATGCGCTGAGGCGAGAGGACTTATGGGGGATAGACGGTTTTTCATTACAAGATCTCGACGATTTGTGGTTTCTTGAAGGGACTACTTGAAGTATGAATTAGCCCTTGTTTCGCTATTTCCTGATCTGTACAAAAACGTCGCTTTCACTGTGTTGTGGCGGCTGGCTCCTCTAACATCGTCCGCGCTCTGTTTGTTTACCCCAGTCGCGTCTATTCTAAGCCCCACCACATTCGATCCATCCTACACCTAACGTATACCTTTGCGCATCCTTGAGCAGATATTGTACCATGGTCGCCTCCATGGAAACAGATTTAGACACTAATTACGAGATGAAAGACGTGAGTGACAGCGCGCTGGACCCTGTTGAGCCGCACCATGGCCATCGTCAACGCCTTCCCACTAACCCTTTCCCAGCTCCAACACTCGTTGCGCAACGCGACTCTCGAACTCAATCTCGAGCGCAGCAAACACTCGGTAGAGGTTGTTGCCAAGGACGAAGAGATACGGAAGTTACGAGTTGCACAGTGTCTCTTACAGGACGATAACAGCGACCTCCACGAACAACTCGAAGAGGAGCAGGCGCGATCCGACGAGTTGGAAAGCGCACTCGACGAGGCGCTTACACAGCTGGACGAGCGACACGCAGAGGGCGAGACGGCGCAAAACACGATCCGCACTCAAGCGCGGGAAATCGCGAACCTCCGGGTAGGCACGTTCAGCTTGTTGAGCAAAGCACAACTAACGCTATATAGGCCGAGCTCAAGGCTATGGAGAACGTCACGTCCGACTCCAACAAGATTCTCTCTGACAAACTCGCTCTATCACGTGAAATCTCATCATTACGGCCCGAGGTCGAACACTTGCGCGCCCAGGTTGAAGCCAACACTGGACTGCTCACTGAGAAGCTAGCACTACAACGCCAACTGGCAACATTGCAGGTCGAGCTCGAGAACGAAAAGCGTACCGCCGCACGTACACTAGCGAAGCAAGGGAAGAAGATGGAGCAGGATGAGGAACTCCGCAACGAGCTGGATGAAGTACGCAAGCAGCTCGCCACAGAAAAGAGAGACCGGATGAAAGTTGAGGCTGGGCTCACAGAAGCAAAGCAGGGAGCGGAGAGCATTCAGGTCGCCCTCAACTCGCGAGACCAAACCATCGAACGTCTACAGGCAGAGGTTGAAAACGTCACCAAGAAGCAAGCAGGGAAAGCTACCAAGCGCGAAAAGGCTCACGATGCCGCCATCGAGGAGCTTCGCCAGGAGCTAGAGCAAGAGAAGGCCGCGCGCTTACAAGCAGAGAAGGCCAGCAGGGATATTAGCGCCCGTGATGCGGAAATTGCGCAACTCCGTCAAGAACTGGAGCAGGAGAAGCGCGAGCGCCAAAAGGTTGAAAAGACGTCCAAGAAGGGTACCCAGCAGACAGATGACCAGGTGGAAGCTGTCAGGAAGGAATTGGAAGAGGAGAGGCGTGAACGGAAGAAGCAGGAGAAGGAGTTCACCAAGACGCTGGCGGAACTTCAGGGACGCAACACCATTCTCGATGATAAACTGAGTGCCTTCCGCGAGAAGCTGCGGACTACCAAGGAGAAACTCAAGGAGAAGGAGGCTAAGCTTGAGAGGGCGGATAGGGCGGAGACAGCACCACCTGCTAAGAGCTCGTCGACAGCTGCAGCGAAGCCCGCTAAGAATTCCAGGAAGCGTGTTGCTGCTACCGTGGAGCCCGAGACGATGCTAGGAACTCCCGGAGACGGTTTCCCAGCGAAGAAGACGAAGCGTGGTACATCTGTATCCGCAGTTGGGGATACATCAACCTTCTCCTTGACCCCGTTCCTCAATCGAACCGGCAATGTAACAGCTGCTAGTCCAATCGTTGAAGAAGAGGAAGAAGAGCAGGAGGAACAGGAAGCCATCCCGGAACAAAGCACACCTACAGCCCCTCCCAAGAAAGCCTCCAAGAAGGCCGCCCAACCAAAGGTCAAAGCACTAGCTCCCGCGGCATCTAGCAAGGCCAACGCAAAGCCACGCAAGAAGAAGGCCGCTCCTGCGCTAGATATGGTCACTGAGGAGGTATCCGAGGTTTCTCACAACACATCCAAGGAAGACTCTGAAAACGCGCCCGTCTCGGTTCCGCTCAAGGACAACGACGGTCCATCCAAGAAGTCCAGCAATGGTGCGCCCAAAGTCAAGCCTCGCAAATCTCTCATGTCGTTTGCCACCTTCGTCGAGGAACCTGCTGTAGAGAAGAAAAAGAAGCGCAAATTGGGTGCTAGTGCTGGTAAGACACTCTTCGATGCGGAGGACGCCGAAGATATTCCATCTCTGAAGCCCGTGGGCATCAGCAAGGGACTATTCGCAGCGAGGGCGCTTGGCAAGAGTGTGCTCGGCAAACAGGGACAGCAGCGCCCGATATCCGGCGGATTCAATATGATGAGTGAAGAAGCTTTTACCTTTTCGCCACTAAAGAAGGACCGGCGAGGCGCGAGTATCCTAAAATAAACCCGCAATACGGGTTTGACGTCCCAAGGTGGTGTGGTTTTTTATGGCTAGATTTTTTTTCCTCTAGTCTACAGGCGTTGGAGTTCACGGAGGGATTCTTAGCATCTTTAAGGCGTTTTACCTAGATCTATATCGGCATTGATATTGGGAGTTATGAATTGGATATGTTAAAAGTCTACTATTGCAACTTTGAAATACGGTGCTGTGCATATACGATTCAACAAATTTCGTGATGACTTAGCTGGCGGGTTTGTGGAGGCTTTTATGCTGATGAGCAATGCATACTCATCTAACCGAACTGGAACCACTCCAATCAAAGCGCCACATCAGCATGGAACATATTCCTCCACCGTGGTTTCAAGCCGTTGAGAAAGGCAGGTGATATTTGCATGGCGGAGAAGATTTTCATAACGTGTGCCTATATTCCATGATGCAAGATGCAATTGATAGGCTGGTGGAAGTTGTGCGGTTTAATACAAACCGCTTGGCCTGCTTCAGCATGTACAAGTACGCTGGCCACTCAGGCATCAACACAGCCACTCGACGTGTCGACGTATATGGATGAAACAGCACGGTAAATCTATCGAAAACCGAACCCACGATCTGGCAAGATTCAGATTGTTACACGTGTGACTTTGCTGCTTGCGCTTGCTCAGGGGTCCGGCTAAAGCGGCGCCTACACGTAAGCTAGCCAAGACAGACAGAGGATTTCCCGCTTTGCTTGTTTTTGGTGTGGCGTGGCCTAGTCGAGCGCCTTTTTCGGCCTTTTTGATCCGAATACGCGGGGATTGGCTGCGGATCTGGCTCCTGTGTGGCTCATGTCGGCATTGCATGCGGATGAAGAAGCTGGCTAGAACGGAAATGCGGCTATCATATACGGACGGACATGGGCATAGTCCGAAGGAGAGAGCGGAGGAGGTTTGTGGTAGCAATGGCGTAAGCACATGCAGGGAAGCGGAATTGACAGGTACTAGCGAGTAGAGTACAAGAGGGAACGACAATGACGGGTGTTGGTACTGAGCCAAGATAGTCCAAGATAGGGAGAGTTGGGTAGTGGGTAGTTTGGCGCGGAATGGCAGTTTGCCCTCACGCCTCATGCATGCGACGACCTACAGACCGTCTGTGACGCCTCAGGGGCGATGCAAGTGGGCCATTTCGCCATGGTTTCCCAGGGGCCGCCCGGTTTGCAAAAGATGCTTCCCGACGGCCTGTCTTGGCATCGACATGCCGCCCGCTCTCATTGCCCAGCGAGCCGCGCTTTTCTGGAGCATGCGTTCCTGGAAAGGTAGTAGGGACCCCACTGCAAGGCTAGGGTGCTGTTGGTCTGCTTGTCTTTCGCAAAAGGCCCATGAATCTATCATCACGTCGGTTTTCCCGCACACACACACACACACGTCCACTTCTACCTCCCTTTACTTCTCAAAGCCTGGCACCTTTTTGTGCTTTCTTACCTCCAATACCCGCCATTATTCTTACGTGCGCGCCCGTCGTTTGTCGAAACGTTCCTGACTGCTCATCGGACATAGCGCGATTACGAATCTTCTGCCTGCCAGCACCACTCCTCTTCCTAGTATCAGCAATGCACTGAGCACATACACTCTTACTTTTAAAGTCCCCCACATTCCTTGATTACCACCTAGACTTTTTTCTTCTTTTGGTCCAGAGACTATTGCGCAATGCCTCCCCGCGACGCAAACTGGATAGATGCAAGTTGCACCCGCTCGATTACCGTCTCTTTGTGTGACTGGGGCTAACATGTTCGTCCTATAGGGCCTTCGAGGCGTAGCTTCTTTCATGGTTGTATGCGGTCATCTCTGTACTGCCTTTGTGCCATGGCTACACCAGCCTGCCCAGAATGCTAAGACTGCACCGCACCTCTTCCAACTTCCCTACTTCCGCCTCGCCGTCGGTGGCCGCAGCGCCGTCGCTCTCTTCTTCCTCGTCACAGGATACGTAAACTCGATAGGCCCTATTGGAAAGTCGCGTGCTGGCAACCACGATGCTGCCTTTTACGGCATTGCGCGGAGCGCTCTCGCGCGCTCGGGAAGGCTCATTCTCCCCACCATGGCGGCAACTTTTATTACCTGGTTCATGGCGAATACAAACGCATACCATATGACCAAGCACGTTGATGCGCAGTGGATACGACAGGGCTGGCATCGACAGGAGCCTACGCTATGGCAGGCTTTCTGTTCGCTCTTCAAGGCCCAAACGGAAACGTGGACAACGGGTTGGGATGAGTACGACGGTACACAATGGACACTGCATTTGTTTCTAGAAGGCGCTTTTCTGGTATACACCACGATGCTCGCCACCGTTCTGGTGAAGCCAAAGGCCCGATTCGTCGTCTACGCAGTCATGTACATCTACTTCTGGCAAGTTGGCAAGGGTAAGAAAGCGCATTCTGTCCGCGTCACATGGCGCATAAATCGCTAACAAACACAGAACTCACCGTCGGCTCCATCAAAGGCCTCAACATCGTCACAGGCATGTTCGTAGCCGAACTCCACAACCACTACAAAGACGCCGCCACAACGGTCCTCCCCGCCCCCATACCCACGATCATGATTCTCTGCGGCATGTTCATGGCAGGTTTCCCGCAAGACTCCTTCGCCAACGCCCGCTGGTCCCACACCATGGCGATGATAATGAAGAGCCTCACCGCCGAAAAAACCGACATCCGCCGCTACTGGGACCACCTCGGCGCCGCCACCGTCCTCCTCGGCATCTTCTTCTCCCGCAACGCGCGCAAGATCCTCTCCTCGCCCGTCTTCAACTTCCTCGGCCGCGTCAGCTTTCCGGTCTACCTGCTCCACAACACGTTTATCAAAACGGTGCTTACGTGGATGATCTACCTCCCCTCGGCCATGAATCCGCCGGTGAATGAAAAGGGCGAGCAGATGGATCTGCAGCGTGCCTCGATCCCTCACATGCTCGTTGCTATTGCCATGTTTTACTACATCTTGTATCGCTCCGCTGCGCTATGGGTCAAATACGTGGACCCTGTTTGTGCGAATCTCGTCAATGCGGCGACCAAGTGGGCGTATGGGGAACCCATGCAACAGAAGGAGACTCGGCCGATTCTGGAAAATGGCGCGGCGGACAAAAATGTGTTGTTGCCTTCATGAAGTTTTCTTATGTTTAAATTTCCTTTTTCTTTTGCCGTACGGAGCTGCATCTTCTTGTGTATGTGATACACAATTCTGGCATCATCATCATCATCATCATCATCGCTCTGGGATTCTTTCTTTCCTCTGAACGTAATTTCTTGCATTCCTTTTTTTTCTCCTTCTGTTGTCATCTTGGGTTGCATCCGCATATCAACGTCTTTAGCATATTCTCTAAGTATGTCTGTGGCTTTCTCTCTATTCTTTGTTTACCCCACGAGAGCAAGCGGCATCATCGAAGTCCGTTTTTTGTCATTTATCATTTGGCGAGGGAGTTTTGGAGAATGAAAAGGTGTAGGCTGAAGGGGGCAAATTATATTATATGAAATGCTCACAAGCTGTGAGAGGAAGGTTTCTTTCTCTAGATGGGTATGTGTGGGGTTGTGCATACAAGCTAGAGTGAGAGAGAGAGTAGTAGTAGAAGTGGTTGAAGCTGAATGAAGAAAAACATTTCAAAATATGTGCAGTTTAGTGTTTTGTGATATTATTGCTCTCCTTGTTAGTTTAGTGAAATTCGTTATATCATTATAGGGAGAGGGGAACTGCAATTGTAGCTAAAAGTTTGTAAAAGTTTGAATATCTTCTTGTCATCACAGCCAACTTGATATGGGACAAAATGGGGATTGTTAGGAACTAATAGACCATATGTATTATTCATTATTTGTAACCGGGCCGTCTAATCCAAGAGAAAAAAGCGAGTGGGGGAATAATGCATCGGGTATCAAAAAGAAAACCACAATCGCAGAGCAGAACCCAAACCAAACCAAAACATATAAATCATCCCATCGTCAATCTTGCCCTCTCCTACCTTCATGCATTATACCCCATCCACACCATCACCTCCTCGTCATGGAACCCCCTACATATTCTCGATAACATGCGAGTTAATCGCACTCTGGAATCCCTGGTTGTTGCCGCCGTACTCCTGCGCCGCCGAACTCTGCACACCCATCGAGTTTGCACCGCCAGCGCCATAAGAGCTAGGACCCTCGCCATGAGCATCCGCCTGAGCGAGCGCACTCTGAACAGTTTGGTTCTGAGCAGGGAGGAAGATGACCTTTGAGTTTGCGGATTTGGCCATTGCTTGCATGGCTTCGAGGTATCTGATTTGCATGGCGGGAGCCGAGGAGAGGATGTCTGCGGCTTGGCTGTTTGGTTGAATTAGCATTGGTGTGGGAAAAAAGGAGTGTAAGTGAAAAATAGGGAGACTTACCGCATAAGTTTCGCAGCCTCGACTTCAGCGCGAGCAGCGATGACTTTAGCCTCACCAGTGCGCTTGCTCTGAGCGGCCATGGAAAGTGAGTCTTGGAGATCCTGGGAAAAGATGATGTCCTTTACGAGCATGGATTCGACTTCTACACCCCATCCCAGTGCCGTTTCCTCGATGATCTCGCGGATCGACTGTGCGATTTCCTCGCGGCGCTCAATCACATCCTGGAGGACGCGGGCACCAACGACGTGGCGGAGAGTCGTCTGTGTGCGTTCCACGAGAGCCTGGCGGATGTTGCTGATGCTGAAAGCTGCCTTGTGTGGAGAGGTGATGCGGTAGTAGATGACGGATGTCAACTGTAGGGAGACATTGTCCTTTGTCATGCAGACTTGCTTGGGCACTTCGACGATTTGGATCTTGATGTCGACTTGAACGAGTTGCTCGGAGAGCGGGTTCACGTAGACGAGACCTGGGTCAACGGCACGAGCGAAGCGTCCGAACTTGGTCACGAGACCTACGTTTCCTTGGCTCACGGGCTTGTAGGGGTTGGGGCATACGAGGCAGCATGGGATGGCTCCAAGGGTGCCGATGCAGCTGCCTAGTGAGTTGATCTGAATTGCGTGTTAGAGTGGCGATTTCGGAAGGTGTTGATATCATAGATTTTGGATATCTTGTCTTGCACGTCATGTGCAGTACTTTGATAACTATCAATGATGGGATCAAACTTACCATAGCACCGTACCACCCATTGGTGTCAGCATCCGCATCATCTGGCTGGATAACCCTAGCATAGCTGGGCTGAAGGTCCTCTCGTCGCGGCGGCTGCACCTTGATAACAGGCTCATCAGTACGAGAAGCAGCGCTGCCAGCGCCATTGACTGGAGCCTTGCCGTTGATGTCGCTCATAGTAGCTGCAGTGTGTGCGTAATTAACAGAACCGGTGTCGTGGAGAAATGGCTGATTAGAAGAAGTAATAGATTCGGCGGTATTGTTGTTAGAGGAGCCGTGTAAGGTAGCCATTTGTTCATGTGCAGGGTAGTCGTGAGCTTATATGTTATCCTGGGGCACGTCGCATTCACGGCATCTTGGAGCGGGGAAGCTAGCGTACAAGGTTAGCTTCGATTGCGCTAGCTTAGCTACTGTGGCCTGTTGTGGCCACCCTACTGGGGCTGTGCTACTTTTACCATGGAAACCTCATTAACGAGAGGGTAATCATGACAACAGGAAGGAATGTGCATTCCGATATTACACGATGCGCAGCCTCATCCTACCGGTACAGCCTCTATCTTGTTCACCTCTTCACAATTCCCTACACTCTACGCGCATATTCTCTCAGCATTATGTTAGCTGTGTCAAACCTCCCGATTCTAGTTGCGCAAAGGTGCACCAGACCACCACCCATCTTCAAGGCCTCCCGTATGGGATTACTCGGCTAAGTCGGTGGCACTTGCCCACTCGTGACGTGCAAAAACCCCCCAAGGCACACTCGCACTTTCACATCTGAACACAACCGAACCATACAGATCACACTCCCTCACATATCCGACGTCAGCGTTTTCCCACCCATCTAATTGAGCCTATACACCACACACTACAGCCAATTTCTCGGCAGCACAAATCACGCGCTTGTGCCCCCATGTTCATTGTGGTTGCAATAGGTAAGGCGTGCCGTTTGATTGGAATCAGCCTTGTAGGTGGAGTCCTTTTGTGGCGAATGCATCTGAGCTTCCGCTGCGGATATGGTGGGCTACTAGGTCTGTCAGAGCAAGGCTGGTGGGTGATTCTTAGCTTTGTTCGCCCTGTTTATTTCCGTTACTTAGGCGCGCTGCTAGTAGCAACGGAAAAGTGTCCTGAGGCAATTGTGTGTTGGAGGCTGGTACAGTTGTATGTTGCCCGTATTGGATAATGTTGATGGCGGGTTTAATTGTTCACTGGGTGCTCAATGTGTAGGCCAGGCACATATTCACGCACCTGCATACGTTCTACCCATGGTACTCGGGTCCGCATACGAAATGCATGTCCTGCTGCGCCATTCTTCCTCGCCGGTTATCCCCACATACACGATTCTTGGGTGTCTTGGATACATCTTCTTTCCTCCCTCTTTTCACTCACCGGTGGAGGCAAATTTGGTCAGAGACCAGCTTCGCCTTCCATCTCGACAATGCCTCTTCAGGTGGCCTAATTCGAATCTAACGGATCCTTTGCTAGTCAGCTTACGGGGTGGCAGAGACGTGTTTGTTGGTATATGCTGCGGTTGCCATGTTTGTTCGCCGTGATACGGCGCAGTTGGCGTAGTCCTATCTGGGCTTGACTACGCCGCAAGCTTATAACCGTGCTTGACGCCACACGTGGGTTTTCCAGGTACTTAAGCGCCTGGAGATTGTGTGCCTGGCCTATTTGTTGACCTGTCTCGGTGCTTCTTTCGGCAGTGACATGGATCGTGGACTTTCTTGTGATGCATTTAGTACCATGAAAGCTTCAGTGGATTGCTTTATCGCTGATAGAAAACTATATTTTAGCAGGCTTGGATGTCAGACTACAGTGAGCAGTGGGAACATAGAGCCAAGACTCGTATACACACTAGCCAGCAATCATGGTTGGAAGAACAGGCGTTGTTGTACGAAATCCGGCATAACAGAGCTTGACCATCATATATAGACCAAAAATAATGCCAGTGATAGCAACAACCCCTTAGCCCCATACAGAATGTAATAATACATTTCAAGATAAACACCAACACGCCAAGGCACCGATCAAATGCAAGTTCACGGCCCCAACGCATACTATGCATGGTCACCCTCACCAGTTTCATCGTGGTGCATCTCCGTTCCATGGAAAGCATCTCCAAATGCTGAATCATCAACCAGATCCAAGCCCAGGTTATCATCATGGCCATAGTCTGCCAACGCATCTCCAGCGCTATCGAGGTTGTCGAAGCTTCCAAAGTCGGCAGTATCGAACATACTGCCTGCATCAGCTTCGATGTTGGAAGAGGGCATGACACCTGCATTGGTCGTTGGCTGATTGTTGTTCATAGTGGGTTGTTGGCCACTACCTGGCTGTTGTGCATTTCCTGATTGCTCGTTCACCATGACCCAGTCCTTCTCTCCTGCAGCCGCCATGCCAGACATTTCCACATCCAAGTCCAGAAGATCGGCACCTACATCCAGGTTTGTGTCTTGTTGGTCGAATGTCGCTGTCTGGTTTGGGTTGTTGGGTACGTTGGGTGTGCCAGTGGTGGAGTGCGACTGGCTTGGAGGCTGTGATAGTCTAGGCAATGAGATGTTCCCGACAGGTGTACCTGAAAGCGAACCATTACCGTATTGATCCAGTAGGTTTGCAGCAGAATTATCTTCCATGGACGCGTCGTTGTTCATACCACTTGATGTGCCGTTTGTGTTTTGCTGAGCTCCGTCGCCGTTGACTTGGGCTTTCGGAGATGGTGCCTGTGGTTCAATGAATCCTCCCTTGTCCACACAGACAATAGCCTTCTTTTCATCGAATTTAACCCCCAGTGACTTTTCTAGGTCTTGTACAACTTCCTCCACAGGATCCGCGTTGTCACCGTCACTCTCGGATGAGCGTAGAAGATCCCGTAATCTTCGTTCGGCTTTGATGTACGTTCGCGTGCGCTTCAACTGTACCATCTTCTTTGCGTGCTCGGCCTTCATCTTATCAATCTCAGCTTGCTCATTTGTCGTGTACTCTGAGACGCGCTTTTCGAATTCCTTTAGTTGCTCCGGCTCCAGCTTGTAGTAGTTCTTGATTTGGTAGCTATCCTTTCCTGGCTCCACATTTTCCGCTCCAGGAACGTCTAGAATACCTGCAGTAAGCGGAGCAAGCTCACCCATCAGGCCCAAACCCAGATCGATAGGCGCAATCTTCCCGACGGCATAAGGCGACGAGAATATCTCCTCCATCCATTCGTGATGCTGCTTGTAGCGCGACAAGCTTATTTCGCGCGGAGTTAGGAAGTCGAATGCATCTTGTGTCGCATTCTCTTCCTCTTCCAGGGAATTGTCTGGTATAATCGCGCCGACAGGAGGTTGGCGAGGTTGTGCCTGAGCGGGTAGGCGCTGACGCTTGGCCGGAGGAGGTTGCGCAGCATATGGCCGGCCTGGTTGCATCGGGTTGTAGTAAGGCTGCGGGCCTCTCATGGCCTGCTGTCCAAATTCAACCTTGGGCCAGTTGGCTTGGTCGACTAGCATAAACTCCTTGCGCATCAATGGCCCAGCTTGCTGTAATTGAGCGCGCATCTGAAGCATGCCATGTACTTCTCGTGTGATTGGAATCTGGGAGGCGGGGATTCTGCTCTGCGGATCTGCTGGCTTGTAGTGCACCAACCAGAGGTTCGGGTCAATGGTACCAGGCCCAGCAGCGATTCGGTAACGATGGCGCGCATGCATGGCATATGGCTCGTGTGGGTAGTGGTATCCGCTGTTGTGGACAAGGACCTGGAGAGTCTTTATGGTGTTAGAGGCTGGCGGATCAATATGGCTTGCCAACACATACATATCCGCGAATATTCATATCATACACGTTCTCGGCATCAGCCCACACCATACCATCTGAGGCGAAATTGTTGCCCATGCGCGGGGACTGCCATGTGAGGATAACAGTGCCATCTGGGGGAGGGGCTGACAGAAAGGTCCAGGCGACGGGTGAGGTGTCGCGCACGATTTGGGGACCCTTGATGAGATACTCGAGAGCCTGGGGGGCTTGTAGGCCAGGCTGGGTAGGAAAACGGTATGAGGATATCAGATGCACATGAGGAAGCTATACTGTTTATTAGCTGCGAGCAACATTGGGGGTCTATAGGCGCTCGCACAAGTTGATTCGGCACCTGCGCACTCGGGTCAGGCGCCTGGTACGCTTGATTCATGCCGTACATGGTGGGTGAATTAATGCGACAGCAAAGCCGCGTCGATCAATCTGGGTTGGGTGGTGATGCAGTGGGCGCGAAAGCTGGGGTTGATGTCTGGAATCTTTGGCGCGTTGAACCACCGCGCGACTGCCAAGAACCATGCCACATGCAGTTAGCGTCTGGAGCGTCTGATCGCCCATCAACCAAGCTCCCGTGGTCTGACAATGAACATGAACAACACGGCGCGCGGATACTTTGATCACATCTGAGAAGCTTGCTCGCTCATCAAATAAGTTTCAAATTCATTCGTTTTTGCTCAACGAAAATATCACATAGAACAGCAGACATGGTGCAAGTACAATCTATTCACAGTACTTCAAACTATATACAAGACAATGTATTTCCAGATATCATTCAAGAGCCCATAACGTGCGGCGTCTGAACATCATGGCAAGCTCCCGGTGTAGTTGGTGGCCTGCATACCTGCTGAGGCGTTAGCCATGTGTATCTCAAGACGAAACAAGACACGGGCATAGATCATCTACTTACAAGGGGGTGTTCTGGGTCAGACTGCGTGAAGCAATTCGATGTGCCATTGCAGATATGCGCAATATCGATGATGGGCCAACCGTAGTTTGTGTAGTACCAGGTGAAATCCTGTAGAATAGTTAGTAAAGGCAGCAGATGGAAGTTACGGAATGTGTGGAAGACATACGTAGAGGCATTCGTCGCCAGCCTGTTTGCCGGTACAGGCATTAGAGAGCTCGTAGTTGTGGGGGTTGTTCTTCGACATTGGGTTCAAGTTCGGCATAGCGCTGGCCACGGCTAGAGAGGCGACGAGTGCAAAGATGGAGTTCTTCATGATTGCGTTGAGTTGGTTCGGTTTGGTTTGGTAGGAATTGAGAAGTATGAGTGAATTAATGGTAAAACCGGTGAGTGGTGATCAGTTGGAAGGCCTGGATGGATACCTTATATACTGAGGTTTCTACACTTCATGATGCACAAGCAAAGCTAAGCCTCGACGCCTCACACCGTGTGGCTTAGCATCAAGTACTGACATATAGCGCTGACTTCCTGTAATGGTCCTGGATGTGATGAGCTATACCTGGGTAGGTATGTGTAGTCGACCGGCACTGGGACCGTGCCGGTGTCCTGCAATTCGACACTCGTATTCCTACCCCAGAGTTCTTTCCGGAGTTTCTAGGATAAAAGCGCGAGCTATGACAGCGGATTCAACCGGGACGAAGAAAACATTAAAGCACTAATGAGAAAATACACGTTCATGGAGGGATCAGCCCAATTACATTTAGCTTAGAGAATCACTGTTACATCAAGATGAGTGTTCAGTTGTGTTTCGATCTTATCCGTTGAAAACCTCGTATTTCCCAATCTATGGTGTTTCATGGGCTACAGTAATCTCGGTGAACACCCAAGACTTGAAACATACGAGCTCTTTTGCACAAGCATAACTTCTGCGCCAAACACAACTTATCGTACAACAAAAGTGGTTAGTTCATAGATCCGGAACATCCGCACTCAAGGTTTCACGGCCTTGGGCTCGATAGATTTAAGCCACCAACGACATCTAGAGTGGCGGGGAATTCGTATTCGTTCTGTGATACCCATGCAATAAGCTATCGTAGTGTCGCGGAAGACCAAGGCGAAAGACCAGACCTCACGAAACCTATAACATCTTACCCCGTGTCACCCGCGGAACTCCGAAAGTGGTACCGGTTCGGCCGATCAGGACGTAGCTACAGAGGTACCTAGATCAAGTGGAGTTGGTTCGGTCTGCCTTGCACAAACAACCACTCGGGCTGTTTGGGTGACCACCGGAAATATTGGGGTCCTGTACATATCCGCTACTGCCCTTGTTTGCAGCCAGATCTTAAGGGCTGCGGTATAATTCTTGTTCGTAGCGGGTGGCTGTATCCGAATGGCGACAAGTTTGCTAAGACAATGCTTAGACAATGCTTAGAAGACTCTTGAAAACGAGTGAGGAATTTTACTGCAGACAGGACTCTATGGCTCTAAGTTGCAATGATGAGGGGAGATATTAGTTGGGTACCTATATTACGGATCAGTCTTCGTATTCGTTCCAAACGTGGAAGGAACTGCGCGCAAGTGGTAAGATCAGTTTTGTTTTGTTCCACCACTGACAAAACTACAGAAATCTTTGCCCGGTAATTAGATTTCCAATGTATATACTTTGGTCGCGGAGTTGAAGACTACAAGCCAATGTACGATGAAATGCTGCCCGGGTACGCAAGTGTTGGAGGAATGAAGATCGTGTAATCAGAGCACAGAAGACATCGCAACAAGAATGCATGCAAGCAGTTTTGAAGGACTTGCTATAATTATTCAGTCTCTAGGTAGTCAATGGAAGTGGTGGCTCGAATGGCTCCTCCCATTTTGGTTCCAACTGGAAAAGCAAGCGACGTCGACGTCAAAACCTTCCCAGCTCAATCTCACGAACAGATGACATGCAAGGAGCTTGATCAAATGAGACAGCTCTTTGAAACCGGGGGATACTGCATATGCTTCTGTTAGACATCTGAAGCTATACAAACTTGGAAGCAACGCTCATAGACGAACCGAAAGAAGCAACATCACTTTTATCTGCCTACACAAAACTTCCAGTGAATACATACTCCTCACCCAAACTACACGCACATAGATACTGTTCAATTTTCACATAGTTACCCCATGGTCGGAGTTGTGAATATCCACCTGCTGACAAATCATGCACCTACCTAGGTAAGAAGTACTCTACTACACCGCATCTATTTAACAACCCCTACACATGATCTCCAGTACTACCACCGCATCCTATCCATTATCTGGATTAGACATGACCATAGGGCGCAGATGTACTATCTGAGTTTGTCAGCAAGCAGTAGTGATCTTGAATTGACCAATCACGTGAAAAGTATCAACGTGATGTTGGACTGATCAATTACGTGAGCACCATCATCATATGGCTGTTCTACTTATCAAGAGACCGTCATTGACAGTACTTGAATTTGTATATATATATATATTTGGCGTGCCTCAATGTCGTTTCTTTTCCATATCGCTGCCAGGCTACACTGCGTCCTCTTTCTTCGCCTTGTAAGGACTGGCCGGAAACTGTACCAACAGTCTTAAAACGACAGAGATAGACAATCATGGCCTCAATTCCTCAACTCAGTATCTCAAGCACAGATGTTCCACTCCTATATGAAGAAAAGGGGCATCTCTCTCAAACACACCACTCCCCCTACAACCAAAATCCATCATCACAGAACAAAGCACCGCCGCCTCTTTCCAATACCCCCGAACCCACCTACCCCGAAGGCGGTCTCTTAGCATGGTCCGTCGTCCTCGGCGCCTTCTCAGGTATCAGCGCCTCAATCGGCATCTACAACTCGTCCGGAATCTTCGAAGCCTACGTGTCCACGGAACTCCTCCCAGACTTGTCAAAAACCAGCATCGGCTGGATCTTCGGCATCTACACCTTTGTGACATGGTTCCTAGGCGTACAGATTAGACCGACGGCGCTGATGGTGGCGGAGAGAGTGTGTACGCTTTGGGGGATTTTTGCGTTGAGTAGATGTACGGGTGAGTTTTGCGGCGTTCCAAATATCCGTCCATTGTACCTAAAGGTATGTGATCTTTGAGGATACAAGTTTTTAACATGATATCAGAATACTACCAAGCCCTCGCCTTCTCAATCTTAAACGCAACCGGCTCCTCCCTCCTCGTTACCCCCGCAAACGCCTCAGTAGCCCACTGGTTCAACACCTGCCGCGGTCTCGCCAGCGGCGCAGCCTTCGTCGGCGGTAGCTTCGGCGGCGTCATCTTCCCCCTCCTACTCCAATCCCTCATCCCGAAAATCGCTTGTCCTTGGTCCCTCCGCGTACTCGGACTTATCCTACTCCTCCTCTGCGACACCAGCGTCGTCCTGTGTCGGAGTCGACTCCCGCCTCGTAACGGTGCTGCAACGACGTGGCGCGATACATTATCTAGTCATCGCAGTTCTTGGGATGGAACGGGTGCGATGGCGGTGACAACGGTGGGCATCGTGTTGACGGATTTGGCGTATTTTATTCCGGTTACATATGTGCCGGGGTATTATTTTGCGCGGCAGGGTTTAGGTAGTGGGATGGCGTTGACGGGGGAGGCGGCGTTTACATATTAGTTACTTGCTGTGTTGAATGGTGCGTCTTGTGTTGGGCGGTTGGTTGCGCACGTTGTGAGGGATTGGTTGGGCAGGTATAACATTATGATCATCTCTTTATTTTTGTGCGCTGTCTCGGCGCTGGGTTTTTGGCTTCCGGATATTCTTATCTCGGATTTGTCCAATATGGGACTTTTGATCGTTTTTGTACTGTTGTTTAGTTTCGTTAGTGAGTCGAATGTTAGTCTGCTGCCAGTATGCCTAGGACAGCTTTGCTAGACGCAGGAATATGGGAGGTATTATGCGACATGCTACACAGTCTCAAGTAGAAGAGTAAAGTTATCATGTTCGCAGTATCGACGCCACACCCGCTTATCAAAGTTCGGGACCAGGAAAATCGCTTGGTTCGCCTTTTTTCCCCTGGTGTACCCACAATAGTAAGTAAGACCATGAGTAAGACCGGTCGGCTCCACCAGACCATCTTGTCTCGCACTTGTGAGTGCCTTGTGTTCAACCGTCCGCCTTTGCTGTAGAATTTTAATTTAGCCAATATATCTTACAAAAATAGTAAATCTTCCATAAATCTGCAATAAGCAACGATTCGGGCTTGTGGTTTAGTGGTATAATACTCCCTTAGCATGGGAGTGGTCCAGGGTTCGATTCCCTGCAAGTCCATCTTTTTGCTTCCTGCGGGAGACGTGGTGGTGGAGTAATGGGTGGTTGTGGTGTGAGTGCGGTGAACGATCGCCCACCACACCGCTACTTTTTGCGCAGACCTGGCATATGCGACTCAACGAACATCAAAATGTTCTTACGCTGTGCCTGTGGCTATTTACGACGGGATTGAAATGATATTCGATGGTGGGATAGGGTGATAGTGTAGGACTCTTTTTGGTCGTGAAGCAAGTTTGCGACTTCAAAGTTTTGACGAAACGTATTTGCGCCACTCTAAAAACTGTTTGACGACGACAATAGTGTTCTAACAGCCACGAGCGTCTACCACACTTACCACAATAATCCACCTAGCCGAACGACTCCCCTTCCTCGCTCCCCTGCCTACACCAACCAACGCACTAATCCCCCTCAACCCCTCCAAGTCGCGTCTATCCACCAACCCCAGCGCCGGAATATCCGCCTTATCCAGACTATTCGCTATACGCGCTACAGCCATTGCATCGAGCATGTCTGTCCATGTGGGTACTTGGTAGATGTAGTATGCGAGGTATGCGAGGCCGAGGGCTTGGATGAGGATGAGCAGGGAGATTACGATGAGGCTGGCGAGAGAGAGGCGTGGTTTGGTGAGGGGGGGGAGGGGGGGCGGGAGATGTGTAGATGGGTCGGGCAGTGTAGGAGTGGGTTTTTTGGAGTGTGGTGTGGAGGAGGAGGTTGTGGGTTTGGGCGCTGTGTGTGTTAGTGGGAGAGGAAGAAGGGGGGAGGGGACGTACATGCTTGCGGATAGGTGTCTGATACTATCTTCAGTGTCGAAGAAGGTTTTATCCAAAAATTTCTTTGTGACGAGCGAGAGTCGAAAATCGTCGCTTCCGGCGGCTTCGCATGCTTCCGTGTGGGATTTCACATCAAAGGCGGAGAAGGGGATGAGATTGTGTTGGCAGGCTTGTGTTAAAGCGAACGACGCTGTTGTATTCGTCGAAGTGTTAAGGAAAGCAAAAGATGATGCTTCTCCGAACATGGCAATGGCGGATGTCATGAGCGGGCCTGACATGGTGATGTTTGTGTTGTTGATGCCGGGAGTATTGGGCCAGTCTTTTCGTGTGGAGAAGGGGACGGGCCTGAGAATGTGTCAGTGAAATGTGTCCCACTTGGGTGTCATAAAATACTTGACATACTAGTGTATCAAGGCCACTGTAGTCGCCAAACACGCCTATTGGGTGCTTACCCACACTGTCAAGTATTTTGTGACACTTGGGTGCTCTTTTCGAGGAGGTACTTACCAGCCGCGGATATCAGTGAGTCTATCTTCATCTGACGGTCGACGCTAACGACCATTAAACCACTTGAACACAACCCGCCCCTCTTCGACACCAATGTTATTGTCATCTCTCCACAAGGCTCAGCCATCCCGTGTCTTGAAACTGTTGGTATGCGGAAAGTTTTACTTAAAGCAGCAGCTCCTTTATACGTGGTTTTCCTGGCGACATCGTCATTTCTTCCTGCATAAGAGAGGCAGTAAACAAACGCATAAACAGTAAATCCCTAGACATCAAACTGCCTCCCATTCACTTCACCTATCATATCATAGAACAAACATGTATAATAAGATGAATTTTCGAGCCCACCACCATAAGGGGAGAGAGCGATCTAACCATCCTAGAGAACGCTACATACCCATCCTAAACCCTTTCTCAACCAATTTTGTTAATATACAAATCCTGCATTGTAGACTCCGCGAAAACCCACCAATAACCATGTCGCAGCGATACGAGCAGACTAGTGTAATAGTACAAAATCGCTGAATCCCCAGGTAAAATCCCATATATGCGCCTTACTCTTTTCACTAATTCAATTTTCAATTGTGTATCTAGTCTTCGATAACACTCAATAGGGAGTCGAAAACATCTTCTTCATCCTCGTCTTCTTCTTCGTCTTGTGGGCGTTGCGCATGTGCCTCGGCCTCCTCGTCTGATTGCGCATCGCTGTTGTCACTATCAAAACCACTGTCGTCGCCTGAGAAGCTTCCTGCCTCTTGCGCGCCAGCGCCAGCATCGCGGGCTGAGTCGGAGACACTGTCGTTGTCGCCGTCCGTGACACCATGCCAGCTCTGTTCACCGTCGTCACCATCATACGCATCGTTGTCGTCATCATCGGGCTCAGTATCGCCACCGTTATTGTAGGCATCAAAGGCAGGTCCACCTAAAACGGGCCCTGAATGTGGCGTGGCGTACGCAAAAGGTGTCGATTTGCCTGCCACGGCGACAGAGCGCTGACTTGGCCTGCTGGTAACTTCTGATGTTGACCTCTGTAGTGGAGGTTGCGAGGAGAAGAATGGCGAAGGTGGTTCTCGCGAGCGTCGAGGAGTTGCGTTCCAAATTGGCACTTGTGGATCCACTACAGCATCTTGGTTTAGCTGTGGGGAAGAGGAGCTCGCTACCCTGCGTCGCTTGGGCCGTACCATCGACAGGCTTGGCGTACGTGATACATGCTGTGGAGCAAAGGACTGCTTTACAGGAGACGAATTGTATCGACGCTTTGATGATCCAGGTGGAAATGTCTCTACAACGGATGTAGATACCGTACGGTCGCGGCAATAAGATGGACGTCGTAGATTCTCGCTCACGGGAGAGATGGGCCTCAACTGCCGTTTTTTCAAGATGGAGTTTGGAGTGATTGACCTTCGCCATTGTCGATCAGCTGGTCGCATCGACAGCTGTAGAGATTGAGCGCTGCCAAACGAAGAATGGACGCTAGCAGGTGGAGCATCGTATGCCTCGACAAATTGCCAGCATGCTTCCTTTGCATCTGCTTCCGGAACATGAGTTTGGCAATGTTCATCGTTACCATCCATCTTCGAGTCTTGATCAGGCTGATAGCGAGGGAGCTGTCTCAACTCAGGCCACGACTGCTCCATTATGACGAATTCGTTGCGGTCGATCTGCTGAGTATAGGCTTCACGAACGGTTACATACAACCTCTTCTTGCCACCAGACACGCGCATCATGACCCCAGCTGCGAGGAACTGAGCAGACCAGAGTGCCGAGCTGGACATTTCGGCAGGTGTAAGGAAACGCAGTCGCGTCTCTTTGAGTACCTTGCGCAATGGGATATACGGAGCCCGCAGACCTGGATATTCAGCGATCATGGGATTCTCGTCGCTGTCGTCGTACTGGAGGTAGTCGAACACGTCGCAGAAGGCATGCGACAATGCGTCCTGTATGTCTTTGGCGCTGGCGCCTCTGAACGTAACGTTCCGGACAAACCCCCTGCTTTGAAGTCGCTTGTAGACTAGATTGTTGCTTCCACAGGCCTTTGGAAACAGCCAGTCATCCGTCGGGCCAGAAGCCCAATTACTAATATCCTGGCTACTCCATCCTCCTCCGGTAGGGTTGAGCAACGGCCCCTTGACTGGGGTGTGAGCAGGCCGATAGGGACTTGAATCTGTGTCTCGTCCAAGAGCTTCAGAGAAAGGAAGACTTTTACCAGATTTTGAAGTGCGAGCTTGAGTCCATTCCTCGGAACTCTGAGTTGTGGAGTTGACAGCGTCGTGCATCGACTCTTCAGGCGAGAACCAGATACCTCGCAATTCAGGTCCCCATGGCAAGAGTACAACCTCGACTTCCCAGGGGCTTAGTGATGTGGGTGGTGCAGCCGCCTCCAACACTTCCAACCTCTCTTTGATGTTTTCAATCTCCATCTCTGTCTCTTGGCGATCCATGGCCGCGAGTATCAGCGCCGAGGAGGTTGTGGACTCCCCAGAGTAGTTGGAGCCAAAAGACGCTGTAACGTTGCCAATGCGTCGGCGACTGAAGGAGGTGCTGCTACCGTGGTCATCTAGGGCCTGAAGCAACCTGTCGTGTTCGCCTGTGCGCTGTTCTACATCGATGAGCCTGCCTTCATACATTTCCAAAGTTTGGTTGAGATCCTCTGGCTGAACATAATTGAAAGATCCATTCTCTAACATGTCCAGGCGGCTACCGAGTTCCTGCATGGTTTTGGCTACATTGGGGATAGAGTTTAAGAGATTGTGCAGTGGAGCGAGATAGGAGACGAGCTTTTGGAGACCTTGCGGCGGAGCTGACTGCAACATTTGCTGTAGTTGCTCTTGTGGCGCTGTAGGAGGGTTTGTCAGCAAGAGCTGTGTAGGAACTGTGGCATAGGTTGGCCGATCTGGTTCATCATTCGACTGCTCCTGCAGGTTTGAAGTCATGCGTGCAAGTTGGTCAATGAAGTCCTTCCCCTCTTGCACCGCGCGATCGGCAGCATTCAGGTCCGGAGTGTTCCCAGCGCTTGGAGTAGCGGCTTCGGTAACACTTTGTACGTATTCAGGATTGTATGTATTTGGGATTGTATCGCCCGGTACATCAAGGTGTATTTGGCGATTGAACTCGTAAACATGCTCGAGAATGCCACGCGATGGACTGTTTACGTTCGCTTCGTTGTGGACCGAGTTTGCTCTGGTCGAGCCCCCGGGCGCACTGCAGGGTCTTTGCGGAGCCTGCGCGACGTTGAAATCGTCTGGTACGGTCGATGTAGGCGACTGCTGCTGACAGTTAATCTGGCCCATACTCTCTAAATGCATCATGGACAGACCGAGGCCTGCGAGCGTTTGGCGCGACTGGTTTGCGCCCTGCCTAGCTTCATTGTTAGTCGCTGGACGCTGGTCACGAGATAGCAAGCACACTGAAGGGATTCCAGGGAGACCAGTCGTGCTGATCTGCGATGGAGTGTCCTGACTTTGTGCAATGCGGCCAGACCCAAAGGCTTGTGAGGTCTGCTGTAGATATCGCGCGCCGAAACTGGGCTCCGAGAGGATGCGCTCGTTGCGTATGGCCTGATCTCCAGGCGAACGGTTCTCGTCTGCGTGTCTAATAGCAGGATGCGCATCGCATTGCGCTCCAGAGGCCAATTGACCTTGGCCGTTACAGGTCGCATGTAATGGCCGTCGCGGAATGTCTATTGAGGGCACACGTCGTTCGGGCGCACGCGATGCCTTCAAATGGAAGCAAGCATGGTGTCCACAGACACACCAGGTAGAGCGCTCACTGCTTGTCCCAGGCGCTGCAATCTCATCGTGAAGCTCGGCGCTGAGCTTGTCCCAGAACTGATCACACCCACATTGTCCTACGGTCGCGTCGCGAAAGTTGCATGGTCCATTTGGAAGCGATCGTCTCGAGGGCGCTGCTGGCTGTGGAGGTGCAATAGTGTACGGCTGCGCAATACTCGTGTTTGGGTCCCCGAACCCCGCCATTGAATTGGATGGGTGAGCATCCCACGGCGGTCGCGATCGGTCTAGGAAAGAGACATTGCTCTGTTACTATGGCGACCTTCGCCCCGTTAGCAGCACATCTGAGACGGGGGGTCGGGGCCGAGCGCATACCGAGGATTGTGCGAGTGCTTTGCGAAAACCACGTCTCCTCGAGGGGGGTGCGACGGCCCTTTATATGCCAGTAGCGCGCAATCGAGGGACGCGACGGAACTGGTGGGCGCATGTGGAGGGGGATGAGGCCGTCAATTACTTTTGGGCCGTGACTCTCTAGCACAAACGCATGCCGCCCGCAACGGCTAGTGAACGGCGCCTCAAACGCTTCCCCGGAGTCTGGATACGCGCGGGATCAGCTATCGATACTACACGTCTGTTATGATAGGTTCAAGCCATGCAAAATTCCGGGCTCCCTGCTTAGCTGAGACGAAGTCGACTTATCCCTGCCGCTGGACGTGCATCGAATCGAGCGCGCAGAGCAACGCCTCAGCGGGCTGGGAAAAACAAAAACACCAGCGAGGCCCTGGTAGAGATTAGCAAAAAGCGATTTACTGCAACCTCTTCAATCGTGATACCCACTGCCATTTGTCAAGGCAACAATAGCTATACCTCGCGCCTTCCTAATCGATGCGGGACGCATATCATTGGCCATTGCTCGATGAGGACCGTCCGCATCTGCATCTCATCTGCACGTCCAACAGGCTCGACCATGGGTACTTGCGTATGGCGACAACTTTTGGACCCAGACATCGGCCTTGGAGGTGCGCATGTCCTTGTCAGGCAGAAACAATGCGACAACAACTCGTCAGCACTACGTCTATACGGCGCCGATATGCGGATTCGCAAACCTTGGAAATACACACGAGGACGTGATGTACCATTGTCGCCGATAGCTTGTCTTGTCAGCCATTGTGATTGTGACTATCAGGGCGCATGTTGCTTATCTTGCCTGCATGCATGATGCGTCACCTAACTGAGCCGCTAGTAAGGCTATGTACGAAGCATGTTACGTACCCTCGTGATCCGTCTTGTCCGTCTGGTGTGACACTGCAATGGAGACGTGGAAATCATGTAACACAGTGTAACAAGGCTGGCGGTTATTGACCCACGGTCGTGTTTGCATTAGCGTATCCAGCGTAACTACTATGAGCGTATCAAGTGTATGCCCAGAACAAATGCGGTTGCAACGCTCCTGCCATTACCAGAAAGTGTCATCATCAAGACATTCTCCGCCTTCTCTTTTAGTTCGAATGCAAAGATGCATAGCTCCAGTCCATCTCCAAATTGTCGTTCCTTGTTGATGCTTTCAGTACCAGGCTTGTCGATATCAGCGACCTCCGTCTTGCCCTCGACCCGAAGATCTAACGCAGAACTCAAGCTGCTCCTCAAAGAAGTTTTAGTTGAAGTGTTGACATCGTCACTACTATCCTCAGACGTACCCTGGCCTTTGCTTGGAAGAATGCAGCCCGTAGTGACCAGCGAGTCCTCCTTAGCCATGATGGAGTAAAGCGTATACTCTGGAAGAATCATCTCAACGCCCTTCTTCATCTGCTTGTCCACAGGCAAAGTTTTGCGCAAGTCCACAGCCCTAGGATTGAACTCAAGCTGGGCGCGCTCAATGTCCGTCAAGGGCCTGCCGTTGACCTGCACAATAGGCTCTCCTTCTTCCGCAAACAGATAGGTCTGGTATTTGCTGACGCGGACATGGGACTCAAACTGCGCCTGGAGGAGAACGCGCTGGGCGAGCAAGTATGGGTCGTTGTTGATGAAGTACTCGAAAAGCTCTGGGTTGTTGCGCGAGGCATTGATCTTGACAATAGCCTCGGGGATACGAGCGGCCGGGAGGCGAAGACATGCAATCGGGGGCAGGTCATGGGTGGTGTAGTGGAGCTTGGTGCAGGCTTTGGTGAACGGTTTGATATTCGGGTTAGCGCACATTTCGATGTCAACGACTTCCTCGAGGTCAGTCCATGAGGCAAAGAGCTCCTCAATCAGGTTCTTCTTGATTATGATCTTCTTGAGCATGATGGGTGCCATTGTAGCGAAGTTGGTGGCTAGAGGATGAGACAGTGGAAGGCAGGAAATTTACTTTGTGCGAAATTTTCAAAAAGTGAAAGTGAAGGTGAGTCGCACGGCTGCACTGTTTACGTCGTCTGTGCAAATATTCCAAAGTGACTACGACTACCACACTCATAGCATGGTCTATACGTCAACTTACTCTAAGCCAGCCGCAATCCATTCTCTTCGGGCTTGAACCATTCCTTGAGCAAATCGTCCAAGATGCCCATGGCGCCTTCTTTGGCCTCATGGCTGTTTTTTCCCTGGCACTCAATGTAAAGCTTGATCTTCGGTTCCGTCCCACTTCCTCTGACTGTGAACACGGCCCCATCATCCAGCTCACACGTGATCATCTGACTACTCACATCTACCGGAAGATCTGGTTTGTGGTCCTTGCTCTTTGAGTCATAGCCCAGGGTCAGATCGCGCCAACGGACGATCTTGCGGTTCCCGATGGTGGTAGGGTGCGGGTCGCCCAATGCACGGATCGCAGTGAACACGGCCGTGGTAACGGACGGCGAAGGCGATACAAGGTATGTGTTTGCGTCTTCGAAGTAACCAAGATACTTGTAAAGTTCCTGTAGCTTGGCATACGGAGTAAGACCCTGCTTAGACCATTGTGACGCAGCTATGAGGAAGACTGCTGCTGCGCTGATCGAGTCCTTGTCGTGTACCGTCTGAGGAATCATGTAGCCCAAGGCCTCTTCGAAGGCGAACAAGACGTCGTAGCCTTGGCTATCAAGCTGGCGAGCTACGTTGCCTAGCCATTTGAAGCCAGTCAAGGTTTCAGTAAACTTAAACCCTTCCTTCTTCGCTAGAGCTGCAAGCATCCTGGAACTGACTGTGGATGCCAACATCGCAAGCTTCTCTCGCGGCCTATCCTTTGGATAGCGTTCGAAGAGATAAGAGCCGAGAAGCATGCCAAGTTGATTCCCAGTGAAGATGTGCCATTTGTCTCCTACTTTCTCTGCAGCTGCAAGTCGATCTGCGTCAGGGTCGCTAGCGAGGATCAGAGGTATCAACGACTTCTCTGCCGTCTCGATTGCGAGATCGAGCGCCCCCTTTTCTTCAGGGTTGGGGAATTTTACTGTAGGAAAGTCGGGGTCTGGTTGTGCTTGGGCTTCCACGACGGTCATCTGAGAAGCAATTCCGAGTGTCTCTGTGCATCGCTGCATCGCCGGAAGCCCGACACCATGCATGGGAGTATAAACAAACCTAAGCTCTTTGTCCATTTTGACGGTGGCATGCTCAGGCTGCGCTGCGAAGAGGATGGCTTTGTGGTACTTGTCTTGGACAAGACCTAAGCTTCCCTCCACAAGAAGCGATGCGCCGTCTTCCACCACCGATGTATCCCAAGTGACGGGCTTCAGGTTTTCCAGTATGGATTCGGCGATCCCGCTATCGTGCGGGGGAATGATTTGACAACCGTTTGACCAGTACACTTTGTATCCGTTGTCCTTGGCTGGGTTATGGCTTGCAGTGATCATGATACCAGCAACAGCCTCAAGCTCTCGCACACCAAAAGGGACCATGGGTGTATGACTCGGCTCCTCATACCACCACACCTTGATGTCCTTGGCTACGAACGCGGCCGCAGTGAGCATGGCAAACTTCTCTGAATTGTGTCGCGCATCCCGACCGATGACGACTCCCCTCCTCTTTACGTTCTTTTCGGTCTTCAAGAGGTATGCGGCCAGCCCCTGTGAGGCTTGGATGACTGTTAGTGAGTTCATACAAGCGAAACCACCCTGCATAGGTCCTCTGAGTCCAGCTGTGCCAAAAGCGATGCGGTGTCGTAGCCGTCTTTCGAGCTCATCATTGTCGCCATTGACCAGAAGTTTGTAGATTTCGTCCCTCGTTGTCTCGTCTTCATCAAGCTCCAGCCACTCTTTCGCCAGCTCTTTAATATCCTTGGCCATTATGGATGCCGTAAAGTCAAATGCGAGTTCACAGGGAATGGGAGATGAAGAGTCACCAGACGTTTATTCGAGAAGTTTATAGAAAGCTCGGCTGTAGTCAGGACTTGCCAATCTGGTGACGGCGGAGTTGGCCGAAGGAAAGCGCGCAACAACGTGTCTCGGTGGGCACCTGCCAACTTCTGTCCTGGAAGAGTTCCCAGTCTAGACACAAGAGTAATGAGCTGATACTTACGCGACTGCTACAGATAGTGTCCCGGCGTCGTAAGAGGCCTGGAATGTGATGGACCTGATGGCTTTCTCTGGTGCGCTTGTGGCGAGTGTTGGCGCGCAACGTGGGGGCAGGCGGTGCAAAGGCGCAAGGGTCCCAAGCAGCCATACAACTTTATCACCTCACCGGCTTCCTTTTCACTGGCTGGCTCCGGCACAGCTCTCCGCGAGGTCGCCTTACTGTTTTCTTTATAGGAGCTATCATCTGATCTTTTTGGTCTCTAAATTGTGCATCAATTGAGCCTCATATTCGCGGAAGCCGAGTCCGTTCACTCTGTGTACCACCGCCTCGTGTCGATAATGGCTACTCGGGTAGACCGAAAGTCCAAAGTGCTCAGTCGGCGGGAGATTGAGGCCCAGATTGCCAATGGACGCTCTATAGTGATAGTAGACAACAAGGTCTTGAAGGTCGACGCATGGTTGCCATATCATCCAGGCGGTGACAAAGCAATACTTCACATGGTTGGACGCGACGCAACGGACGAGGTCACTCGGTACGTGCATTCATGGCTCAGATGAGTTTTAAATTGACAATATACCCCAGATTTCACTCTGCGCAAACGCTCGAGTCCATGAACCGCTACCAGATTGGCCGCATCGAAGGACGCTGGAAGAACTTCTTGCCGCCGATCCAAGGAGGAAAGTTTAGGACACAAGAAGAACTGGATAGACTATCAGACGAAGAATATGCGGAATCATACTCCTGGTCTGAGCAAGAGACAGTTAGCTCGGCCTCTTCTGCGGATAACAGCCCGCTTTTCGAACCGGCCGACAAGTCTTCTGCGTCGATTCGTAAACGCAACGGGGACGGCATTGGCAGAGCTTCTTCGATCTCCAGTGTTTCTTCGGTCGAGCTCGACCAAGAAAAGATTGTCCCAAAGATGTCAGTGCTCGACAGGCGAACACAAGAAGAGCTGGACTTCGACAAGGCCAAATACCCGTCCCTAGACCCTGCCACCCAAGACGCCATCACGCAAAAATACCGAGAGCTACAAGTACGGATAAAGCGGGAGGGACTCTATGATTGCAACTATACCGCGTATGGCATTGAATGCTTACGCTATGCATCTTTTTTGTGCGCATTCCTATTCCTTCTGCGGTCGGGTTGGTACATCACTAGTGCTATTCCACTTGCGTGTCTTTGGCACCAGCTCACATTCACCGTCCATGATGCTGGACACATGGGCATTACCCACGACTTTACGACCGACTCAACTATCGCAATGTTTATCGCCTCGTACATGGGCGGTCTCAGCGCTTGTTGGTGGAAGTACAACCACAATGTACACCACCTCGTCACGAATCATCCCGAACACGATCCTGACATTCAGTACATTCCTTTCTTCTCAATCACCCATCGATTCATGGAGAGTCTCACAACGACCTTCTACGAATGGGTCATGGAGTACGATGCCTTTGCAAAAGTCATGATTCGGGTCCAGCACTATACGTATTACCCAATCATGCTGTTCGCACGCTTCAACCTTTACAGGTTATCATGGATGTATCTGCTCCTTGGTAAAGGCCCTAAGAAAGGCCCCGCTTGGTGGCATCGCTACTTCGAGATCGTCGGCATGGTTGTCTTTTGGACTTGGTTCGGCTATGGGGTCGTATACAAGTCTATACCAGACAACAGCAGTCGCATCTGGTTCGTGCTGATTGTGCATGCACTGACCTCGCCGCTTCACATACAGATTACCCTGTCTCACTTCGCAATGAGCACAGCAGATCTAGGAATCCACGAGTCTTTTGCCCAGAAGATGCTACGAACGACCATGGATGTCGACTGCCCGCAATGGCTTGACTTCTTCCATGGTGGCTTGCAATTTCAAGCCATTCATCATCTGTATCCTCGCATCCCCAGGCACAATCTACGCAAGACACAGAAGTTGGTGCAAGACTTCTGTAACGAGGTCAACATACCATATGCGTTATATGGCTTTGTAGATGGCAATAAGCTGGTCGTAGGGCGGCTGGCTGATGTAGCAAGGCAGGCCGCCATCTTCGCCCAGTGCCAGCGGACGATAGTTGCAGAAGGTGATTATGGAATACATTGAGACATATTTCAGTCCATGATTGATTTAGCAGTAGATATACAAAATTATAGGCTAGATGATTATCATGATCTCCGTGAGTAGCGTTCAGTGGTTTGTCTTCTTCGAGTACTCATAGTCGTGCAACGTCGACGCTAGAAAATACTTGCTTCGCAATGGATCTTCATGCATAACCGTAAGATGCCTAGATCCCTAACCGTTCGGATCAGTTTCCGATACGAAGGCAAAGGGTCCACTACTTTGTCCGCCGTGTTCCGGCCGGCAGACAAACCTTCTGACTTGATTTCTAACCATATCACCAACATAGAAGCCGTTGCATGTAGATATCACATCATACCAGCCTTATGGTCGACAGATGTAATCTAACAATCCAACATTGAAAGATCTCACCCCATGGCTGATGTTAGACGATTGACAGGGACGCGTTCATACTAGCGCGGGTTTGAGGGCAACCCCACATACATCACACCATGACGTACCTGACGTAGTTATGCTAACAAACGGAGCTCGAATGCGCCAAAAGGAAAGTCGTTGGTATGACATCGATGTATCGTACTACATTAGAGCCAATGGCATTGCCTCAATGGAACATAGAAAGCTCCAACTTTCAGGCTGCAAGTTTTTCAAGCACGCCTGTTAATTCGCACCTGCTTAAAGCCACTCTATCCCTGATTTTCCGGTGAACTTACTTATCAATCAAAGAATCTTTCTTCTTCATACTGCGCTTTTCAACACGAGTAGCGCCGGTGACACCTAATCGCGTCACCAAGCCCAAGTTAACCTGAACCCCCATTCAAAGCTCAACATCACCGGTTTCTCAGTACAACGCGAATATGGATGCCATGGCAGCAAAAGCCCCGGCGGACCCAGAGACCGTTTCTGAGGATGTTGAACACCTGAGTCTTTCTGCCTATGGTCCAGCAAGGGCGTCAATCACCGAACATCCACTCAGCGATGATGAGGTGCGAAAGATGACAGACTACTTCCATGCGTCGCTATACATGTGCCTAGGCATGATTTACCTCCGTCGGAATCCTCTATTGCGCGAACCTCTTACCCTAGATCACATCAAGCGACGACTATTGGGACATTGGGGCTCAGATGCTGGACAGAGCTTTACGTATATTCACATGGTATGGGCGCACGTAAACGACAAGACCTGGAACCATACACTAACAGAATTCTCCAAATAGAACCGCCTGATCAAAAAGTATGATCTCGACGCCATCTTCATCTCTGGTCCTGGTCATGGTGCGCCTGCAGTCCTCTCCAACAGCTTTTTGGAGGGCGTCTACTCAGAGGTGTATCCTGAAAAGAGCGAGGATGAAGAGGGTATGAAACGCTTCTTCAGATCCTTCTCATTCCCTGGTGGAATTGGATCCCATGCTACGCCTGAGACGCCCGGTAGCTTACACGAGGGTGGTGAACTCGGTTATTCCATCTCCCACGCTTTCGGCGCAGTATTCGATCACCCAGATTTGATTGCACTCACAATGGTTGGCGACGGCGAATCAGAGACTGGCCCGCTGGCTACAAGCTGGCATTCCACAAAGTTCCTCAATCCGATTACTGACGGTGCTGTTTTACCCATTCTTCACTTGAACGGCTACAAGGTATGTTGTCATGATACAGTAATTCATGTTCACTTTACTCACCGCAGTTAGATCAACAATCCGACTGTTCTCGCTCGTGTAAGCCACAAGGAGCTCGAAGCACTGTTCATTGGATACGGATGGACGCCCTACTTTGTTGAAGGAAGCGACATTCCCTCCATGCATCAAGCCATGGCTGCCACTATGGAGCGATGTGTTACCAAGATCAGGGAGTACCAGAAAGAGGCGCGGGATTCGGGCAAAGCTTTCCGGCCTCGTTGGCCTATGATCATCCTCCGTACACCTAAGGGATGGACTGGACCCCGCAAGGTTGACGGAGATCATTTCTTGGAGGGCTTCTGGCGTGCACATCAGGTTCCTCTCACCAATGTCCTCAAAGACAAGTCGCAGCTCAAGCTCCTCGAGGAGTGGATGCGTGGATATGGGCCCGACAAGCACTTTGACGAGAACGGCAAGCTCATTCCCGAGCTTCGAGAGTTGGCACCGACCGGTAACAGGAGGATGAGCGCTAACCCAGTTACAAACGGTGGCGCGATCCGACGCAAGCTCCATGTTCCTGACTTCCGTAATTACTCTGTCGAGGTCACGAAGGGAGGTGTTGCAAAGATGGGTAGCATGGCAAACTTCGCTGCCTTCCTGCGTGATGTGATCAGGGACAACCCGAAGGATTTCCGCCTCTTTGGTCCTGATGAGACTCAGTCCAACAAGCTAGACAAGGTCTACGAAGCGGGAAAGAAAGTCTGGCTGGCTGACTACTTTGAAGAAGACAAGGATGGCGGTAATCTGGTTCACGATGGACGTGTGATGGAAATGCTGTCCGAGCATACGGTAGAGGTGAGTAGGCAATCAAATTCCGAAGACATATTGCTAACTTTAATAGGGATGGCTAGAAGGCTACATTCTATCTGGACGACACGGCTTGCTGAACAGCTACGAGCCTTTCATTCACATCATCGACTCCATGGTCAACCAGCACTGCAAGTGGATCGAAAAGTGTCTCGAAGTGGAGTGGAGGCAGAAGATTGCTTCGCTCAACATCCTACTCACATCGACCGTATGGCGTCAAGACCACAACGGTTTCACCCATCAGGATCCTGGTAAGGAGGACCCACTTCAATCTTGCCAGCACATTCTCTAATGCATACCCAGGTTTCCTCGACGTCGTAGCCAACAAGAGCCCCGAGGTCGTCCGCATCTACCTTCCACCCGACGCCAACTGCCTCCTCTCAACCATGAACCACTGTCTCCGCAGCGAAAACTACGTCAATGTAATCGTAGCTGACAAGCAAGAACACCTCCAGTTCCTCACCATGGAACAGGCCATTGCCCACTGCACAAAAGGTGTCGGCATTTGGGAGTGGGCCAGCAACGACAGCGGTGCAGAACCAGACATCGTCATGGCATCTTGTGGTGACGTGTCCACGCATGAATCCCTGGCTGCCACCGCACTCCTCCGCACACACCTCCCCGACCTAAAGATCCGCTTCGTGAACGTAGTCGACTTGTTCAAGCTCATCGACGATGGCCAGCACCCCCACGGCCTCAAGGCGCACGAGTACAAGGCCATCTTCACAGACGACGTACCCTGTATCTTCAACTTCCATTCGTACCCCTGGTTGGTTCACCGCCTTACCTACGGCCGTAAGGGCCAGCAGAACTTGCTCGTCCGCGGTTACAGGGAGAAGGGTAACATCGATACACCGCTTGAGCTGGCTATTCGGAACGGCACTGATCGCTTTAGTCTGGCGATTGATGCGCTGGATAAGATCAGGAATCTGGGCAATAGGGGTGCGGCGACGAGGGAGAAGCTGCTGGATGAGCAGATCAAGGCGAAGAATTATGCATATCATGAGGGTATTGATCCGTCATGGACGGAGGAGTGGGTTTGGCCTTTCTAGGTCCTTGGATGAGGTGAGGCTGTTTCGGTGAGAAAGGGAGTAGTACCACCCACAGATGCAATGAACGATGGCAGTGAATGTAATGTAATGATGAGATATAATTTTTTTGCCTCAAGCCTGGACAGCGAATAATATAGGCGAATACAACAGGCCGACTAAAAGTAATAAGTTATGCATCGCAGACAATGTATGTGCCGCGGCAAGGTAGTCAAGAATTACCCAAAAAGAAAACGCCCATGCTATGCAAAAAAACAGACAGAAGTCGCCAACCTCTCGGTTCGACGAACTTTTACCGTAAACGCCCCCATGCCAAACACCATGCTTTGCTTCTGCGGAAAATCGAACAGCAACAATACTCACAGCTACTCAAAAGTCATAATCAACACTCAACCCCAACCCCAACCCTAACCCCAACCGCATATTCTCCACTGTCTTGCCTCCAACACCCTTGAGCATAGCCAACGATTCCAAGTCCATGATCTCAGCGTCGTCCATTTCCATGAGGCAGTTTACAATACTATCAGCCTTCTTCGCACCGACACCTTTGAGCGCCTTGATCTTGATGACATCGCGGGAGTTGATAATCTTGAGGAGCTGGGACGTTCGGGGAGTTTGTTCGGCGGGGTTAACGGTCGTAGTAGCGGTAGTCTTGGTAGGCGTGGTGGCGGCGTCACGGAAGATGGGCAGTTTCTTGGTGGTCTTCTTGGGTTTGCGGGCGGCGGCCTTGGGCTTGTATTGGATGCTATCGTCGGAGGCGTAGTCGTCTTCGTGGTCGGAGGGCGGGGGCGGGGCGAATTCTTCGTCGTCTTCGGAGTCGTCTTTGGCTTCGGTCTTGGTGGCCCACTTCGGCTTGGGCTTGGGCTTGGGTTTTGGCGCCTTCAAAGGGGCCATGAGGAGGCTCGATGTTGGTGCGATGGTGTGGGACGGTAGGTCTACGGGGTCGGCGGCTGGAACAGAGGCTGAGACGGGGGCTGAGACGTGCCTGGTGGCAGTCGTGTTTTCCTCCCTCTTTGCTCGTACCCGCTCTCCAAGAGTTTTCATCTTGGATTCCAGCTTTGCGTTGTCCGGGAAGAATGGCTGCGCTAGTTGGTACATTCTCAGTGCACTTGCGTCCTCACCACGGATGTGATGTTGCTTTGCCATTAGTAAGAATTGCAGGCCTTGCGACTTGCCATCCTCCTCTGTGGCGTTAATACGATGCTCGAGCTCGTCTAATCGCTTCTGCAACTCGGCTGGTAGTGCTGGAGCAGTATTACCAGCATCTTGCAGCGCCTTTTCCGCAAGTCTCTCGTCCACCTTTTGTGCAATAAGGGCTTCGATTGACGCTTTTGTCAAAACTGGCTCTCGTCCCGGTATCCGCGAGGTGTTATCCGCCGCTCGATACGTTTTGGTCGGCCGTAACCCGAATGTGCTACTACTGGGTTCAGCTGCCCGTTTAGGAGGTTCCGCCCGTCGAATGCCCGTGTTCTGTGTAGTATTAGGAACACGAGGAGCAGGTTTGCGAGTATCAGAATATACGGAGAAAGCCTTAACGGGCTTTTCCCCCTTCTTCTTCTCTGCATCGGCGAGATTGGCATTGGCGACCGCCGCCAGGGGTCGTAGTGGTTGTCGCGCCATAGTCGCTCCACCAACGCTGCTCGTTGCTGCCAAAGGCTTGACCGCCGTCCTGTACATTGGATCATTCTCCACCTCTGCAATCTCAATCTTCTTGGTCCGGCTTGCAAAGTTCAAGGAACTTATTGTGTCGAGGTGGTATGCGCGAACGGGAGCGAGGTTGAGAATCATGACAGTGAGGCCCTTGTTCTGCCCTAGCGACAAGATTCGTGTCATCTTGGATTCACGGTAGGGTATCCGGCTGGCCTTCTTGTTCATGGCTTCGACACATTGTGCGAGTACGAATAGCGATTTGTTGATAGCAGAGCTCTCGACGAGGCGCTCCTTGTTGTTTTCAGTTCGACGGTTGTCTTCCGATCCTGCAAGATCAATGCAGGATACACGACTGACGCGGACAGTTTCCTCGGTTGTTTGGGTAATCTTGACGCAAAGCACAGCGTGTGACCTGGAAGAATGGGCGTTGAGCTATAGGGGTATTAGTAAAATTCCCGCCAGTAGCCCGTAGATACTGACCTTGGTAGAAGATGTTGACCTGTTCATGTTTGCCTGGTCATAGAGCTGCTCGAACTCTTTCAATGTGGGGCATGGCTTCTCAGTCAGGCCGACGACAACCGTCTTGCCTTTGTTGTCACGAATTGGCAGGCCGGATGGGGTGCGCTTCTCTGGCGGTTCGAAGAGATCGTATACGCGGTCGCAGTAGATTTCAAAGTACTCCAGAGCAACTTCGACTTGAACGGCACCTTCTGAATCCTTTTCGATCTTCTTACTTCGTCGGTAGATGGCGCTCAGTAGGCGGGGGATGACACCTCGCTCGGCCAAGGACTTTCCACCCCGCATCGTGTGCGTTTTTCCGGTACCAGTGCAGCCATGGGCGAATATAGATAGGTCAAAGCCATTGAACAAATGCTTTACCGTAGGCGCAACTAGCTTGCGGTCAGCTTCAATCCTGGTGGCTGGGAGCCGGGCGCGTTACTCACTCTCAGCATCGAACAATTGCTGCTGCGACGCGTCCTGTTCGTATACAGAGCTGAACTGGAAGCTGAAGGACTCGGCCTCGTTCTTGGGACTGGGGATGCGCACAACCGAGGGTGTTGTCTCGCCGTCGAGCGTCTCGGCCGTGACAATGGTGTCCTTGTCGATTTCCTGCTTCAACAGAGGACGAATCCTCGCAACAACGCGTACGCTCATGGTGGTGTCGTGGCCAAAGGAGAAAGGAAAGGGTTGACCACGGAATATCAGTGAGAAATACCCCCAATCTCCAGTGAAAAGAATGCTGCACCTACCCTGCGGCGTGCGGCGCACGTCTGGAGTCTAAGCTCGCGATACTTTGAAACGCCAGGCCTAACGCAGCTGGTCCCATGTACTTTCCTTGTTCGTTTCGCTAGTTACCTCAGCAACCCGTCACCGCCTGAGCGAAAGAACAAGAGACACGTGCAGACCCCATTAACACATCACCGCCATCTCGATCCACATCACTATCGTCGATAACGGTTGATCACGGCTGGCCACAGGTACCTATGTGGTCTTTTTCTTCTTCCGACTTGGCTTCCCGTGTGCGGTGCGGTCCCGGTACCGCCTGCGTCTCTGACGTCTCTGGTGCACTGACTCGTAGAGGAAAGTCTGGATGAGTCTGAATCTGAGACTGCAGCAGACTGTACGGTAGTGTTGTCTGAGAAAGCCACTGCATCGGATGGCGCCAACAGGTCTCGCAGCTCGCGATGTGGAGCTATTTATGGCGTGTCGGTACCTTGCACGGGAAGCAGACCCGTTCGGCGAAGCGCCTGGTGGAGGTGGCTCAACTATCCCCAGACGCCATCTCATTGGCCATGGCATGAAACATCAACCCAGCGCATCAGAGCACCACATCCAGTCCTGTACTTGCACACTGTATTTTCTTATAGGGAAAGGGCGAAATGTCCACATTACAGGGCCCGGCGACAATGCTGGTCCAGTACAACGACCTGTTCTATTCTGTGCTCAAACCGTGCTCAAGGCGGCTAATGCAGCCTCAAAACCCGCTGGCTGCCCAGGACACCATGATACCCTCACGGTAGCCATCTGAACGAGTAGACAGTGGCTTGCTTGAGACGAACGATATT